AGGGCGGTAGCCAGCGCCTCTGAGGGCCCAGCCCTGCCGGCTGCCTTCAGGCCATGCTGTGGGGAGAGGAAAACCCCGCTTTGGGGAGAGGCTGCCCAACCCCTCACGTCTCGGTTTAGTTTATTTAGCAAGTAGGAAAAGCCTCCAGGTTTTTCCTGTTTCTGGTGGTGGCAAGGTCAGTGCAGCTGGGATGGCCTTGGCCACGTCACCGTGTGGTGGATGGGACCCAAGAGCCCACCCTCACCCCAGACTGCCCCCAACCTGCCCGAGGACACCTAGGGCCATGAAGGCGTCCAGGTGGCTTTATGCCCCTGGTGCATGGGATGTGCCCCAGCTCAGCTGATGGAGGTGGCTCATCCTGGGCTGTCCATCCATCTGTCTGCCTCGCTGACAGCTGGGAATTTCCCTGGAGCCCCATGCTCCGATTCCCGGGACGAGCAGGTCCCACGGTGGCAGCCACGTCCATCTCTGGTGCATGGTGAGGAGGAAGCAGCCGCCCATGCCGCCAGCCACTGGCTGGCCCTGGGCACGGAGATGATGGCTGGCACGGCTGTGGGGATTTCACAGGCTGGCCTTCAGCGTCACCGAGCGTGGCCTGGTGCAAGCGGGATGAAAGGGAGGAAGGGGCCATTGTTTTTCCAGATAATTCCCTGTGACGCAGCTTGCAGCCGGTGCGGTAGGAAATGCTGATCTGCTTCCTGCCCTGGCGCAGGGACGTTTTCCCCATCCCTGCAGCCTGGCACCACAGCTCGCGGCTCCCTGCCAGGAAGGCCGGGGTGGCAGGGGAAGCCCCTCGGCGCCCAGCTGGAAGGGCTGCGGCGCAGCGCCTGCAGTGCATGGCGGTGTTCCCATCTGCCCCCAGAGAGGGTGCTGCCACCAACAGCCGGCACCAGAAAACCCATCTGGCAGGAGACCTGTGTATTTGACCTGGAGCTGGGGTCCTACAAACCTTGTTTGTCCTTGGGACAGGGAAGTAGTTTTTTTTTTTCTCTGGGATGGGGGGATTTGCCCTGGTGCCTAGAGGACTTGGGAGCATGCAGGATCACGCTCCAAAGACACTTGGAGTTTGTTCGTATAGAGGAGGTAGTTTCAGGTAGGGAGGAGGCTATTGGAGGAACGGCTCCTCCAGCAGTGGCTCCCTGAGTGGCCCTGCTCGTGTTGGAAGTCAGTTTCTGCCCAACGGGGGACTTTCAGAAGATTGATCTATTGAACTAAGTGTGTAAACTGGAAGTGGATTAGTGGAACTGCAGCAATCCTCTTTGTGCTTAACCGTTGTCTTCTGGTTTACAGCGTCCTCATGTTATGTGGCTTATTTTCCTCCTTGGAAGTCCACTTTATTTTGAAAGTGAAGCAAGATGAGACCTCTCGGAGTTCAGAAGCAGCACCCTGGCAGAGAAGTTTGTGCAGCTGCTAATCCATTTTAACTTGGGCTAGCCACTCCACCAGCCCCTCTGAAGACATACCTCAGCAAAGGAAGGAGGCTGGTATCTGTGCAGACAAAGTGTTTTAACTATCACAGTGTCAACTTATAGTGGTAAAATATGGCTCTTGAATATCCTACCTGGAGGCTTGGGAGCTTCCATACCCCAGCTTCAGACCGAAATAACCGCTGCTGGTACCCCTGCTTGCTGCCGACTGCAGCCCACTGCAGACAGGGCCGGTATCGAGGGACTGAGGCAGCGCCATGGCTTGCAAGAAGGGTGAGGCAAGTGCTTCCAGATCTGCCTGCAGATGCCAACCGAAGATGTCTCCAAAAAGATCTAATATTAGTCACACCCCTTTGTAATACTGACAAAGAAAGAGCGGGTCATGCTCTGACTGAATAAAAGCATGTCCTTGTGTCTGACTGCCGGTTCTTCCTTTGCAAACAAACCATTGCTTACTGCTCTTGCAGTCCATACCCCAGCCAGGGATGCTGCTTAATGCTGCTTGCCCCCTTTTCC